AGAGAGTAAGCTTGAGGAGATGATGTCCACCCTTTGGACTCTTAGCTGTGGAGTCCCTCAGGGGTTGATAATCTTCTTGTTGCTGTTTAATATCTATATGAGGCCCCTGGGGGAGGTCATCAGGAGTTTTGGAGCTTCGTGTCACCAACATGTGGATGACACCCAGTTCTATCTCTCCCTCCATCCTTCTGCAGTGGATGCTGTCACGTCCCTTGAGTGCTCCTTGGATACCGTGCTGAGATGGATGAGGGGTAACAGACTGAGGCTGAACTTGGACGAGACAGAGATTTTGCGAGTGGGTGCTCCTACTGTCTGCGGGTTGGGGGCTTCCCTGTCATTTGGTGGGGCTACTCTTTTCATGAACGATGAGGTTCATAGTCTGGGCATACTCCTGGAGCCTGTGCTATTGATGGAGTCTCAGATAGCATTGGTGGCCTGGGCGGCCTTTTCCCATCTGAGGCAGATCACCCAGCTGCATCGTTACCTTGACACCGAGGCCCTCACTACGCTGATTCATGCACTGGTAGTCTTCAGATTAGACTACCGTAATGCTCTTTATGTGGGGCTTACCATGAGGCTGCTACGGAAACATCAGAAGTTCTAGAACATGGTGGCTGGATTGCTGAGTGGGCTGAAGAAAGACCAACGCATACTTCGTACACTGGCCTCCTTGCAATGGCTATCTGATCATTTCTGTGCCAGCTTCAAGGCGATGACTTTGACATAAAAGACCCTAAACTGTTTGGGACTTCGTACCTGACAGAACACCTCCTCCTGACAAGATCTGCCTGATTTATTCAATCTTTCCAGGCAAGAAGGTTGAGGCCATTGACTCTGAGAGAGGTCTGGAAGGACAAAACTAGAAACACAACTTCACTGTGTGTTGGGGCACATAGTTTCCTATTGTATTCTCTATTGTTTTCCTAGTAGGTACCTTCTGTTTCAGGTTGTGCTGATCTGTTTTACACATGCCCACAGTGGGTGTCATCACCACCCTCTTCCTGACCAGACCCTCATGCAAGTCTAACTTTCAGTTAGCCTAGCTGTTTCCCTGCTCTGCAAACATGCCCTTTCTTCATTGCACTGCAGCTAAATCCTGCTATTTTCTGCTTAAGCTGAGTAAACTGGTATACCTCCAGTAGAAGTGTAATCATTCTCTCTCCTTGCCACTGGAATGTAGTTACACTGCTGTGTACATGTGGGGGAATCAGGAGCAACATTGTCATGACACTACCACACCACTATCCCCCATCTGCATTTCCCACTATTTCTCAGGCCATTCAACCTGCCATTGCTGTGTGTCTCCTGTGTTTATCACAACCTTCCTTTCTCACCTCAGAAAGCACTGAATACTTAAGTTGAAAGTTGAATGACATACCAGTTCTTAACTTTGACTAGTGCTAATTCACCTCAAACAGCCACATTTAGGCAAGAAGAGTTTCTTTAGTGTTATGTTTTCAATGTCAATTCCAATTCATTAATTAGCAATAACTAACTAACTAACTAACTAACTAACTAACTAACTAACTAAATAAATAAATAAATAAACAAAACAAACAAACTGCACAATAACTAACTAACTAACTAACTAACTAAACAAAACAAACAAACTGCACGATGCACTAAAATCCTCTAGGAATAGATGATTGGACAGCACAACTTTTAAAAAGATGTCTCCAACATTTTCCAAAGTGTTTCAGACAGCAGATTTTCAAATGACCCTGAGAGTGGAGTAAAACTCTATCATCAAGGGCTGAGATGAGAAGCTCTCAATAATAGCACTAATTTTCATCCCCGAAACAAAACAAAATGAAGTTAAGCAAAGAGAATCATTTTTAAATGTTAATAACATTCTTCAGAGTTGGTATGAAGAGCAGCTGATGTCCAAAGGAGACTAGGGCAGAGTGAGGCTCTCCTATCTAGCAATGGGATGGGAAGCTATCAATTGAATCAGTGGGATGCAAATCAGGAAAGAAGCAAGGAGGGTTAGGCAGTCCCATACTGGACCTCACTGGTGACATTCTGAATTATGGTCCAAAAATATGCCCATCAAAGATACAGAAGGTACTGACATCTTTTATCACATCATACAATACCAACACAGAGCAAAACATACCATGGCAACCCCCACTCAAAATCTCAGGCTGAAAAAGAACCAGAAAGCCATAAAAGAAAACCATTTGTAATGGATATAAGCAAGAACATCAAGTGGTCACTGCAGAAAAGAGCAATACTATCTGTGAAGGACTTGGGTCTTAAGAGGGAGACAAACACAAGCATGGATAAGACCTCACTTAAGCTAACAAGGGGGAAAACACTGTACAAGTAAACAAAGAAAATATACAACATCAGTATATTCACCATTCAAAACAGACCAATTTGTCCCAATCCTTGCCTGGCTGTATCTCTAAAGAAAGTTGCCATTTATCACATTCTGCAAACTACAAAGTGTTACTCATAAATCTTAGAATATCATTTGTCCCTCAAACCTGGTTGACTTGTTTGGAGGAATGGGGCATTTCACCTATCCCACAAAGCTACCTCCCCCAGAAAAGTTGGGTCAAATACTTCAGTTCAGCAGTATATTATTTAAGTTTCTATGTGCTTGACAATTTTCATTTTCATTCTCTATTTAAAAACATTTGTGTAGACACCTCTGATCTTCCTTTCAGATTAAGTTTTCATCATCCTGAACATTTCAAACTCTCATTACTTGGGAAGGGCCTTCTAATAAAGTTTCCCACCAATTAGGCAAAAACGTAAGCAAGCATGATAGTGCTGAAATGCTCTATTGGCTTTTACTCCTCTTTAGCACAGGGCAGATTTTGTTTATAAATACAAGAGGACTCTCAAGCAGCTTCGCATTTCTTCCTTACAAGGAATCCAAAGCTTGCTTTAACTTTGGCAATTGTGTTTCCTAACTGTAACATTACTGTTGAGAGCCACTGGGACGCATTAGCTAAGTAATCCTCCAGACAAATTGGCTTGATGGCAAGTTATTTTAAAAATGCTGAATTTTAATTGAAGCTTGTGAGCTAGCACAGAAGAAGAGTAAAGAGGAATTATCTGGGCTATTTTTCAATACATAAATACAAACAGACTTGGATTTCCTTCTTTTCCACCATGGGAAAATGACACTTACAAAGAAGCCAAATATTACCACCTACGTATATTTAAGCGATCTTTCAGAAACCTCAGCATAAAGGAAATCTGGTCATGATGAAAAGTCGTAAAGGCAAAAAGCAAGGATCTACATCCTATGCAAAGAACATAGTCTTGCCTCCAAACTTACAATCTTTTGAAATATACCAAACGAGCATTTCCATTCTAAGGTACAGAAAAACAAACAGAAGGAGTGTACTGTCATTAGGCAATGATGTATTGCCAAATATTAATCATATTTACTTGGTAATAAGGAATACTGATTTGAATTCTATTTATTTCCAAGTAATTATGCTTATTTTGGGACGTGGTGGAGCTGCAGGTTAAATTGCAGACGCCTCTGTGCTGCAAGGTCGGAAGACCAGCAGTTGTAAGGTCGAATCCACGTGACAGAGTGAACTCCTGTTGCTTGTCCCAGCTCCTGCCAACTTAGCAGTTGAAAAGCATTTTAAAATGCAAGTAGATAAATAGGTACCACCATGGTGGGAAGGTAATGGCGTTCCGTGTCTAGTTGCACTGATCATGTGACCATAGAAATGGTCTACAGACAAACGCTGGCTCTATGGCTTGGAAATGGGGATAAGCACCACCTCCCAGTCTCAGTCATGACTGGATTAAATGTCAAGTGGAACCTTTACCTTTTAATTATGCTTATGCTTGCAAATTTATTCAGAAGATGCAAAATCAATGAATGACCATCAATGAATGATCATCAGCGCTCACTCCTCAAACCCTTCTTCCTCTGCCAAAGCTTAATCTGAACCACATGACAACAAAAATACCATGTTTCTGGGCATGCAAGGACTCAAATAAAACCTTGACAAGAGTCTTTCATTTTGAACTCTCTTTGGGTGTATCATTAAATACACAGCAGATAAACAGGCCTAGCAAAGGTGTGATCAATTCAACCACTGAAACTTTCCATAACATGAACTGCAAGAAAGATGGGAGAAGTTAAAAACCACAAAACTTCCTTTGAAAGCCCTACTTAAAATCTCAGCACTTGGAAGTGTTAATTTCTCTATAAGAGTATGACCTGAATTCTTGAACAGTCTATGTTTAGCTTTCTATCTTGCCCTTCCTTTTTGGTTGGCTCATATGAAGAGATTAATCTGCCATGTGGAGATTGCCAGTTAATACAGTCTGAGGCCAGGATACCTGGTATTTAAAGTGCAACGTGAAGTCTTTTCTCTGTAGAAAGAATTGAAGAGACTGTAAGTCAGTTACAGAACATACGTTCACATTGTAAAAGATCTTAAGTTCCATCTCTGTTATCTCCAATTTAAAAAAAAACAATAAGGGGATGGTATGAAAGCCTTGTCCCGGAGATGCCAAAGAATATGGCAAATGCTTTTGGAATGATATACTGTAAGACAGATTCCGGTGTCCTTAAATTATCTGTGTAAAGCAACATCATCACAATAATTAATTCTCAATACAAACACAAACTCCAAATTAGGATTTCATTCCTAATTCTTTGCAAGTGCCTAAGAGAGCCATTTTACATAAGTGGCTTGCAACATGAACGGAGACTGCACAGTTGTTTTAAGCAACATGCTACCCGTAGAAAATGCAAATATTCAGAGGTTTTCTCAAGATCCAGGTATTCAGCGCTTGGAAGACCTGCAAGCTACCTGATCTCCAAGCCTAGCTCATTATCCTCAACTCTTGGCCACTTTCACATCATATACAAGAAAATGAAAAGGCATAAAGGTGTAAAAAAACAGTGGGGAGGTCCACATACAGTACTTAGTTACTGTCTGAACACTTCCTTCTATGCACAAGGCATTTATTTTTTACTAGGCTTTAACCTAAAATCTCTTCAATTCTGCGCTTACCTGTGGTTCTCTCTCATGTTTGCTGGGGTCCTTTTCATAGCTTTCTGCATAGATCCGGAGGGTAGCTCGTACATGACTAGAAGCACTTAACCGGAAGATGAGTCTGGATGCATCAGAAAAAATTATCCTCAACCCCTATGAAAGAAGAAAAACACAATCTGGCGGATTAAAACAATTCTGTAACATATTCTATGAACTAAAAGTTCTTGTGCACAAACGCTTAGATTATTTTAGCAATACAGTGGTGCCTTGCTTAGCGATGTTAATTGGTGCAGCAAAAATCGCCACTAACCGAAAATATTGCTAAGCGATTTTTAAAAGCCCATAGGAATGCATTGAAACTCCTTCAATGCATTCCAACGAGCAAAAAAACTCACCTTTAAGCGAAAATCCTTCATACGGTGGCCATTTTCGCTGCCCGGTATGCGAGGAATCCATCCCAAAACACAGCGGGCGGCCATGTTTTTTTCCAGTGGCCATTTTGGAACCGCCGATCAGCTGTAGGAAAAAGATCGCTATGCGATAATCGGTAAGCGAAACAGCTTACCGATCGTCGCAAAGCGATTTTTCCTATTTAAAACATCGCAATGTGATCGCGTTTTCAATCGCAAATTCTTCGTCGCTAAGCGGTTTCGTCGTTAAACGGGGCGCTCGTTAAGCGAGGCACAACTGTATTTATTTAATGTAATTTTGTGTACTGATACAATTCTGTACTAAGTTTCAACTTACATAAAAACAACATAAAATCATTATAATAGCAAAAACAACATAGCTGCAATTTCAACCAAGATTTCTCACCAAGTATTTTTCTAACTCCAGACCTAAGCTGTTTTGCTGAAAAATAATAATCTTTATTTGCCTTTCATACCTGTCTTTTGGTCACAGTGCCATCTACGGGATCCACATATTCAAAGCTGTTAGCTTTCTGCACAGTGTAGACATTGTTTCCAACAGCAAACTGTTGGTTAGTGAAAGACTTGTCAGTAATCAAAACCTCCAGGTCTCTCATTATGAAAAATGCTGTTCGAGGATCCAGTGCTTCATAATCAAATCTTGCATTGCAGGAATTTTTTAAAAAAGGATAGGAAGCAACAATTGATAATTAATATAATATAATATGAAAAGACAATGAAAGTTTTTAATGCAGTCTGGTACTGCTCAACAGTGTTATCATACAATCTGGCAAGAGGCGTGTTGTTGCTTTGACACCAGTATACCAATATATCACAAGGAATCTTTGACAATGCCAAATAAGGAATCTTCTGCCTTTTTGACATCTTGGGTCTAACTGAGCCTTGTTGACCCTCTGATGTGGAAAGGCAGGGTTCCATATATTCTGTCCTGGAGTTAGACTCAAGGATTAGAGTCTAAGCTGTACAAGCTGAAAGTCTGATTATTGCTTTCTGGAGAACCATAGAAGCAACTGCTTTCTGCACACTATAGACACTGTTTTGAATGGCAGACTGTTGATTACTGAAAGATTTGTGTGCATTATATTGTTTTTATTACGTGTTTGTGAGCTGCCCAGAGTAGACTATATCTAAATGGGTGGCATATAAGCTCAATCAATCAAAAAATCAATCAATCAATCAATCAATCAATCAATCAATCAATCAATCAATCAATCAATCAATCAATCAATCAATCAATCAATATTTTAAAGAGTTCTTTAAAATGCACCAGAAGAATTAAAAATGAAATGTCATCATTACATAGTATGAAACAACTCAGTTTCTCAAGTACTAATACCAAACTCATTGTTTGTATGCAGATCTTTATATCCAAAACAGCACAATCCAGCACACAAAGGCAGCACTGCCTGGCTTGGAGGAAAACCCAACATTTGCAGCAGTATAAAGGATATTTTGATAGAATACTCTAAACCATGGTCCCCAACCTTTTTAACACCACTGACCGGTTGGGGAAGGCGGGGCACCCCAACGCACTCGTGTGCATGTACGAAGGAGCAGGGGTGTTCAAGTGGGCGTGTGCACACTCGCATGCATGCGCAAAGGGCAAGGGGCACTTGGAGGCACTTGTGTGCATGCGCAAAGGAGTGGGGTGCACGTGCAGGCCGCACTTACAAAGGGCAGGGGCGCTCGCGCATGTGCGCAAAGGGGTGGGGGCACTAACATAGGCATGCGCGCACATGCGTGAAGGGGCTGTGGGGGAGTGCGTGCGGGGGTGGTGGGAGATCTGTCTCCTCAGCCTGCTCTGGCCCAGGCCATGGACTGGCACCGGGCCACAGACCGGGGGTTGGGGACCCCTGCTCTAAACAGATAGAAGGGAAACCCCAGTCAGTAGCCACAGAATGGGGTGAAAGGAGAGAAGGCAAATGAAAGTGGCAGGAGAAAAGCGGTGGTTGCTTAGATGGAAACTTGAACAGAGCATTCAACGTTCAGATCTCACTTGTAAAATTTAATTGACAATACAATCGGGGGAATCAAATAAATAGACTACAAAAATGTGCACACAACTGCTGAAGGCAAACAGTCACTTCTTCACATATAATCCTCAGTGAATAGAGGTTCTTTATCATCTCCCAAACTCTGTACAGCACTGGAGTCCTGATACAAGAACCTAAAAGATTTGAGACCACCTGAAAATGGGCTAATCAGTTACAGCCTCTCAATGTGCTCATCAGTCCCACACTTTCTATAGGTAGGCTGAATGCACCATTCTATCAGATCTCTCCCGGAAGGGGAAGTGAGATGTAGGTGTAATCCAACACATCTGGAGGGCACCAGATTGGTGAAGTTCTCTGGTATACTGTGCGCAGGGAGTTATTAGCTTACTATGGTTTTTGGGCAGAATCAGAGGGCCAAGTGGTTCCCAACCTTGGGTCCCCAGATGTTACTGGACTGCAACTCCCAGAAATCCTGACCAGCACAGCTAGAGGTGAAGCCTCTTGACAGTTTTAGGCCAAGAACATCTGCCTGAGAGCCACTGATCTAGCAATTTGTAAGGCAACACCTTGTCAGGAGATAGGAAGAGCTAGAGCTAGGTTATGCCCCTTTGTACAACAGTGCTTGAAGAGTTCTGCTGCTCTAGTCTCAGATAGACACAACTTTTAACATTGTAAAGGAACATCTGTTTATTTCATGCCTCTTCCATAAGCTCAAGATAGCTTACAACTACAACAAAAAGCACATAAATGTTCAGAGATACCAAAGATTCTCCTTTTTGCTGTTGTTGTTGCTGAAACAGCCACAGATAATTACCATTTGGAAAAAGGCAGTGCAGTTCTGTGGTTCAATTGCAATGTGAAATAATTCACTGTGAATAAAGCACCTTGCTCAAGTTATACTTAAATATTCCAGCTTTATGAGTGGACTCATCTCTATTAAACTATTTTTGTTTGGTTTTGCTTTCATTTCATGATAAATCTATGCTTTGGCAATAATCTACAAGAACATTCAGATCAAATACATGCTAGCACAGAGGATTTCTTTTTACAGGTCACTCCCTCTCCTTGCCAAAGCACAAACTAGCATTTCATGAATCTGCAGCAGGTTTAAATAATACTATGTGATTTAAGAACTCAGCCTCATGATTTGCAGCTACAATCGTTACTTTTATGATTATTTCTGCCGTGAATAAAATCTATTAATGGTCTGTAGAAGAACAAAATGCACTTCCTCTTATTACATACGTGGCTTTTCTACAGGAGAGCCATTCTCACCTGCAGTAGTAATGACGGCCAAATTTTGTCCAGTGCTCTCTGACTATTTCTTCTACGCCCTGCTTTCGAGCTGCAATGATTGAGAGCCAAATTAAGACAGCCCAAAGACCATCTTTCTCTCGGATATGGTCAGAGCCTAAGTAAAATAAGCAAATATTGATCTGTCAGAATATAGCAACATTTAATTCTCATTCTTGGCTTTATTCATATGAAAACACAAAACTGTCCATATTAGAACACCCCAACGCAAGAAACTCAAAGGTAATGGAACATGTATACCGCCTCCATTATTTATCAGTTGAGGAGAACAAAATTTTTGAAACATAATCTAAAACTATGTGATAAAGAGATTCCACCCCCCATGTTTCTCAAGTCGAGAGTCTAGAAAATCAGTTTGCATATTTTGTTTGCCCAGCTTTACCTTCCCTTGCTGAGACTAGCTCTGAATACACAAGGTGAACAAATGACCAACCAAACAGGCAGTCACTTGTCTGGAATGGAATTATGTGTGCTGCAACATAACCGGTATCTACTGAGGCATCCCTGCTGCTACATCTCTTCCGAACTTTAGATATACGCACCAGTTAGTACAGATCTAAAGAAATTAGAAAAATGAGAGGGAAAATGTAAACTATTTTCCTTAGCCACACAGAGCTACTTTTTAGTGCATTTAGACGAGGATGACATTTGAACCAATTTGTGGTTCTCTGTTGTATAACTATTGTACATTCAGGTTCCCCACCCAGACCTTTTTCATCTCGTTTTATTGATCCAAGAATTGTTTTTATTTGAGACCTCTAAAATACATGGCAAAGCTGCTAAATTTAGCAGAAGGATGATATGCAAATATTAAATAGGGTACTGATACTGATAAACCCAAATCATGTATGCATGTAGATAAATCCATCTGTATTTAAAAATATGCATTATTTGATCCATTTTTCTATTGTCTTTATTTGTTCTAAGCATTTATACCTTGCCTCTCAAAACAAAACACAATTTAAAAAATTAGACCAGATTAGGCAACTAAATGTGTGCAATATTTCTGGTTTCTCTGACAAACAAGTGGCAAAATGTGTTTCGGACATTTAATTAGATGATGCAGAGCAGTACCCTAGATCTTGAGCACACCACCAGACCTGCCTCATACGAAGACTCTTCCATTCCAACTAAGTTCCTTTACTTCTTCAGAGCAAGATAGCTTCCTCCCCCGTGCTCTGCCTCCCTCCATCCCTAAACAAATCCTTGGTTAGACATTAATCCTAGTTTATAAATCCAAAGCTGCAATTCTCTCTCCTTATTTAGGATTTCTTCCCGTTCAGTTAACTGCACATGGTCTGATTATTGTCCATGTAAGTTAGGAGGAGAAGTAAAACATTTTCTCTGTTGCTGCCAAGGAGGATTAGCTCAAACTTAAAAGGCACGTGCACAGCTTTCTTAAAGGTTGATGAATTGTTGCAAGTGAAACCAGGAACATGGTAGTTGCTGCTGTCACCTTCTTCTTCAATTCCCAACTCATTGCTCAGAATACCTGCAGTTTTTTAATTCTGTCTGACAGGCTGCCTTCTGCTGCTACAAAAAAGGAAGAAGTTACAACAGCGTTGGGTGAACTCCAGGATCAGCTGCCAGAGAACAGGCTTGAGAACATAAAGCCCAGTGGGACACTTCCAAAGATCTTTTGCCCTTTTATAGCACAAAGGATATTTTTATTCACCAGGAAGAAAACCTATTCTTTCTATTAGGCATACAGTTTTTATGTTAGTGAAATATTTCATCTTGTATGATATGACTAAGGTAAACAGTCCCTTAAATGGTGTCAAGCTGTCATGTACAGTATTTTAGCTATTTAGGTACAGGCTTATAAGATTCTTCTTATTGTTTTAAGTAAAGAGTAAGGTCATCACTTTATGGTCAATAACAACGTTCCCAACAACAAAACCATTAAAATCGCAATTGTGCGATTTCCTACTCTCTTTGAAAATGTAGGTGAAGAATTACTTTTCATCCTGGCTCATTTGCCAAGCATGTGGAAAATGCAGCAACAACAAATGGCAACATAAAAGATTGCAAAAGTACACATCATTAAAATATTTCACTACTGGTCAGAAAAAAAACTCTGATGTATTTAATTTTCACTTCCTTGTATTATGATCAACAGATCAGATATGTATTACGTATTTATGTATTACTATTCTTCTCAACTTCAAAAATATTTTTATATGATCTAGCATACACCAATTGTCCTGTGCGTATCCTTTTACGGTACTAGATGCTCTCTGAAGATGACAAAAATGTTAGGAAGGATTCATTAGGAATTATTTCTTAGAAAACTTACGCCAACAGTGGAGTAGAAAAGGTGTGATGATAGGATGAGCAAAGTCAAAAATGAGTCAAGAATGGGATACATACAGCTACAATGTTATTGGCTGCAGCTTATAAATTTGGTGGGTTATGTTGGTTTTTTCCCCCCTTACAGTGCAATGCAGCCATGCATGTACCTTTTTCCTTTAATAGCCTGGCTCTTTTTTCTTTCTATCATGTCTCAGGCTATTACAGTAATAGATACACCTGTTCCTTTTTTTCTTCTTCTCTGGGTATAAGGGAAAGCCTTACCTACCTTTTCATCAGATGCTTGTAGATAGCCGAAGCAGTTGCTATGTGTTGTATCTGCTGCTATCTCGCCTTTACCTTGATATGCTTGCTTGTTCTTTGATTTAGCCTGCTTTATGTTTTTTCTCCTGAAGTTAAGTCATTTTGTTCTGTTTTACTAGTAACCTGTTTTTGGTATGTATTGTTTTTTATCTTGTATGTTTAGCAAAGTTTATGTTACATTTTTACATACAAGCTCTTAGTTTTGTTTTATTAAGCTGTGCATAGCAAATGGGTGGTTTTAAGTCTGTTTGATATTTTTAATAGTAGATGTATACTGGGTTACTTCTTTATATATATTGTTTGTTTGCTGACTTCTTTTTTCGTTCACCTTTGCTGCTCACTGAGTATTCTACATGGCTGTGGATACACTGGTGGTCCTTTCTTTTTGAGCGAACAATTCCCAGCATTTATCTGAAATATCTTTAATAGCAAATAATCCAACAGGTTAAACATCAAACATCAGGCAGGTTGCATGCTGGTTGGTAACCTCATTCCTAACCCTGCTGCAAACACTAGGGAGTGGTAGGAGTAATTTCTATTTGCTTTTATAGTGAATATCACAACTTCTAAAAATTCAAGAAAGGAATTATTTCTTAGAAAACTCACAAAAATTAATTAGCCCATGAAAGGTAAACTATTCCAAATATTTGCAGCTAGTCAACTGAATAACCTGAAAGCAAAAGCTAAAACCAAATTTTAACACACACACACACGTTTCTCATTCACATTTAGAACAAGATCTCTTTGGAAATTTTGCGAAAGATAATGTGTGATAGCAACAGGACTGAACATTCTCTTCTGTCTGGGTGACTTGATCTATGGAAATCTCTCAAGGTGGTAGTGAAACTAATGAATTAGACCTTTGTGTTTAAGTATCACTGCACTGAAATAACCTCCAAGGTTTCCTGAAGCACACCAGATTTTTTTTTCCTGGGGGGTTGCAACAATGATCAAATCCACATTGCTTGAGTTACTGCAACAAGCTTTTCTCCAGTCAAACCCCAAGGCCCATGGGTCCAGTGGTGAGTTGTGGGCTACAAAGAGAATAGCTGGACTGGAGCTGAAAGAGGACCATTTACTAGAATACCTGAGAGGGAAGATGACAATGTTGCCCATTAAAAGCAATTTAATTGCCCTAGATTGCAGTTCTCTTTAGAGTCCTGAAATTAACACTGGACCAATGCAGCTGGGCTGCAGAGAGGCTCTAAAGAGAACTGCTGTCCTGGGGGATTGAAATTGCTGCTAATGGGTCAACACGAAAGGGGTTGCCCATTGGGGAGCCCCATAGGGAGTTCTGAATGCTGAAGCTACCCTACTCAGGACATTTTCCCATCCACTGGAAAGTCTTTACTGGCACTATCTTACTGTGCCAGCTTAGGCCTGATGACACCACTGCTCTACTTAGACCATAAAGACACTCAAGGGGAGCCATTAATCTGGTTATGACCCATTGTTGTGCAGAGGACAAAGTGATATACTAGTATGGTATAGTGGATTCAGTGATGGACTAGGACTCCCTAGTCTGAGTTCAAATTGCTGCTCAGCCAAGAAAGCTCACTGGAAGGATGGAACTGATAAAGCTACTCCTTAAGTATCTCATTTAACTTGAAAGCCCTGTAAGAAAAGGTGGGAGATTCCAAACTGGCCATTAAAGAGAAAGGTTTGAAAGCCTCTTTCCAGGCTGCAATCTAACCTAACAAACCATGGTAACAATGAAGGCAGACTTTCTAGTCTAAAAATCCTCTTTGATAATGCCAGATTAAGTTGCAAGAAAAGCATACATTTAAAGGATTTAATTCTGGATGAAGGAGCTGCAGCTTGTATCACACAGACCTGGTCAACAGAATGGAGACAGGGCAGCTTGCCTCACCAGACTCTGTCAACTGGGCTATACCTAAAGCAGGCTAAGGCAATGAGGTGGAGCAGCTGCAGTCATTCTTGCTAACCAGATGCAACAACTAGCAGTCTGGCAATTTTAACGTATGCTGCTACAGTCCTTGGATTCTGCTGGGATACCACCCATACCACTGCTCAACAATCCCCCTTTCTGAGCTATCCGGGGTGATTTCTGGTGTGACATAGGCCTATCTCAGGCATATTGTTCTCTTTCACATTGGAATCGGCCAGTCAGGAGTGGCTTAGAAATTCACATCTGCTATGACAATCATGGAAGTGTCATAATTAGCAGCTGGCCCCATCTATCTGGCAGACCATATTTATTATTATTATGGACAGATCACCATCTGGTTAGTCTTAGACTCGAACGTAGTGCGAACCTCTGGAGGGCTGATGGACTGCAGACTACCCCTCCTACTTCATGGAATTCAGAATTTTAAACATTCAGAATGTACAGATATCCAGATTACAGTTAATATGCATACTATATTGTCTATTTCCCCCTTTTCAAACACACAAACAGGCAAAACGTTTTTAAAGGAGTTCCCTGCATCCTCTTACACCTAGCCTGCAATTGTGCCAACCAAAAAGAGTGCACACCAACAGCCAGCAGAACCAATTATTAGGAAATTACTGTAATGGGTGTGTTGACTGAAGCCTGAGCAGTGGGAATGCCAGCAGGAAATACCAGCACCATTTGGGGAAATGAAGACAGGTTGTAATGAGGAGTGGACAAATACCCTGGGCAACACTGGCTGGCAGATTTGAGCATCAGATAATCTGTGGTGGGTGGGAGCTGTGACAACAGCACAGGGCACAGCACAGCACAGCTAAGTGGCACCATATTGGAGTAACAGTTGGAAGAATGAAAGAGGCAGAAGGAGGGGGAAGCAGAATGAAGCATGTCATACCTAGTACTTTCAGCAGTCTTTGCCATTTGGTAGGAAAATACATTTTTATACAGATCCAAGTTCCAGGTGTGAGTGGTGTGGACTGAAAATGTCCCCTGCCTGACAGAACACACTCTCACACATTCCACTACCACCTTGGCCAGACTTCCAGAGACAAATTCTTTCTCAGCCCATTTAGACAAATGATTAATCTCTTTTGACTTGCAGAGCTCCTGCATATACGCCTCTGCCATGTCTTTCCTGCAGGGTGACATATCTGGAGGACAGGTCCCTGCTATGCTTGTTCAGACAGTGACTTAGAAAGCTTGCTGTTGTTGTAAAGGTGAGGGACTTTGACTCTGGAGTACAATTGCTACTACTGCTCTTTGGAGTGTTATGAACTTTGCTAATTTCTTTCTGATCTGTGTGACCTCTCAGTGCTAACAGGACGTTCTTCACTAGCTGCTGCTGCATGTGATGGAAAGTTGGTTGTCATTGTCCCTCCTCGCCCTGCTGCTTAATATCCATTGCCGGCTGTTAAATTCCGGGATCCAAGAGGGTTAATAGAAGGTATTCCTCCTTATTTTGCAAGGAAGTAAACCTGTAGTGGAGGAACTGCTTTAGCTTGCTGGACAGGTCAGACCAGTAAAAAAGCTGTTATCTATAGAATCTCCCATCCAAGGGAGTTCCTACCAACCACAATGCTGCTTTGCATAGGAGAGATTTGCTGGGGGAGTAAACCCTTCTTTGAATATACTGTAATGGAGCGCAATGTCTGGTGTTCTTCATAAATCTCTTTCTCAATCACAAAAGTAGTAGCACTGCTGCTGCTGAAGCTGCCTGTATCAGCCTGAGTGCTGATGCCATCTTTGTCTTCTCTGGCACATTGGCTCTTTTGGGGGAAAAGTGGTTTCTTTTTTGGCCCCTTTCCTTGGCTGAACCTCACAAAGATCTCACTAAAACATGTGCCCTAGGTTCATCCGTACATGTCCCACCTTGAACCATAAGCTTCTCTGCCACTTTCACTTCTGCCTGCTGCTCTCTCATAGTGTCAGCGTTAAACAAGGCAGCTGGATGACAGATGTTGTTTCGGGGACTCATAATAGCAGTTGCAGGTTGGCTTTTTCTTTTCCTTCTGCCACTCTTCTCAGTAGAACCTGCTGCAGTGGGTGCAGGCAGCCTTCCTGCAGCTTTTCCTAAGTTTCTACTTCTACCACACCCAGCATTCATACTTCCTGCAGATTCTACCCAAGGGAGAACAATATCTGATTCTGCCAAAGCAGAACATAAACCTTTCTAATGAAAATTGCACAGAGAGAGAGACATAATATGTATTCACTTAAAGTATCTGTCTCTATATAACAAAATCTTATTTACTTACCTGATATACTCCAAAGAGGCCTAAACTTGTATTAATACTTCCCTGCTGATAATGTAGCAATGTAGTAATCTATGAATCTACTAATCCTAAATGTTATTCCTAACTAAATTAAGTAAGCAATATACAATAAGTTGTAAAGAACATAAAAGTTGAGGGTTCCAGCATTTGATGTATTGTCAGCCAGTTACATAATGGAATCATATATGGACATTTTAGTCTGCATAGCTCATGGCTACCAAGAAGAAAGAAGTTTGTATTTTTAATTTCTTTTTCTTTCTTTCTTTTTGTAAGATAGGTAGAAACCTCGACCTAGTGAACCAACCCACATGGCTGTAAGACTGCAAGTTACAATCAGATCAGGATTTAAATGCACTATGTTCCATAAATGATCACAGATGATCGCATTAGACATCTTTTTATTTCATGGAATATATTATATCTCACCAGTGCCAAAACTTTCTTCTCCACAAAGTGAGCATCGACCAGAATCCATCAGATTTGAGAAGAACCTCCAACCTGCTGGTGTTTCATAGACAGGAACTTTCAAAGATTTTGCCACCCTAAAAAAAGACCATCAAAGAACACCACAGCATTAGCATGGTTACATTATTCACATATAGATGTAGACTTACTGTATTGTGGTTGATGAGTTTGATATACCCACATACACTGTTCTTCATTATGGAGTACAGTTTTGTCAGTGACTTATAGAGGAAATTATTAAAAAAACTCAGACCATCAGCTACTTAACTTTGATTTCAGTTACTGACTTCAGAGATACCTAACCCATTTTCAGAATCCAATATGCAGCTTCAAGTTTCCAACAATAAATTGTCCCACTTTGACCAGTATTAGCAGATTCTAAAATTCTAAGTTAGAATCATGTTTGTAGTCCAGAAAGCAGAAAATTAATTAATATAAAAAAACAGTGTTTTAAAATGTAGCTTTTAAAGTAAACTGCATAAAAATGTTGGCACTGCTGATTGAAAGGATGATGCAGTGTTAGAAATTATATCTGAGTTACACAGAAACATTACAGAGAAATAAAATGTTAAACATTTACATGCACATAATTGTATACTTTGTCCATCCCTAGAAACAAAGCAGTAGATAGTTTAAAATTAAGAATATGGGTTTTCTCTTTAAAAATATGAATTACAGTGGTTACACAGAACAAGGAAAAGGCTGTGTGGTCCCAAAGATTTCACAAATGTAGGAAAGGGTGATACCTTTTGTTGGACCATGAAAAAAACATTAACAAATAGCAAACTTTCATGGATGAAATCCACTTCCTCAGACTAAGCACACCTCCTTCATGGATGGTGCAGAAAAACTGTATGAAATTTGATGTTACATTTCTGTGAGAGATAATCAGGTTTTCTTGCGAGGCTGAGCTTCTAGCATCTCTGCAGCAAGGTTTGGAATTTTTATATCCTGACTTTTGTGACTAATTATCCCGGGTTTGCTTATATAAATTGGTTTATATAGATCTATCAATACAGATAATGGTAACGGAGATGAGCACAAGCAAAAGTGTTACAGCTTTACTTATAAGATCAACACATTTTGCTTCTTTGAGTACATGTGACTGTGTGGTTACTGCATTTTATCAAGCCGCTGATGATGTCCAAATACTACCACAAACTGGCTGATACAATGCAGTAACCACATGCTCACTGCTCCTTCATTCATTCTGCTGCACAGCAACATTGATGTAGAACTACCTGAAAAAGCCAGAGAGGTATGGCTCAAGTGCAAATTAGACAACTGCATTAAAGTAGTGGGGAAGAAGGGGAAAGCACTCCTCCAGGGCTCCAAAGATGTTTTTGAGTTTTGTTTCTGTTGTCCAGGGTGTTCGCTATGCCACCCAATTTTATGTCATTTGCAAATTTGATAAGTATTCCCTGCACTCCCTTATCCAAGTCATTAATGGAAAAGTTGAAGAGTGCTGGCCTTGGACTGAGCCTTGTGGAACTCCATTTGAGAACTTTCTCCCAGTTTGAGAAGGAGCCATTGATAAGCACTCCCTGATTATGATTTTGTAACCAATTGCGTACCTCTACCTGACAATTATTCTATCCAGCCTACACCTCTAGTTATCTAATTAGAATATCATGAATCATTTTGCTAAAGGCTTTGATGAAGTCAAGATACACATTTCCACCATTTATAAAGGAGGTTATTCAATTTTTAAAAAAGCTTTATAATTTGCTTCAGAATTTTGCCTGGAACTGATGTCAGGTGAACTGGTTCTTAGGTTCCTTATTTTTGCCCATTTTTGAAAATAAGGACAGCATTAGCCTTCCTCTAATCACTCATTCTCGATTGTTTCAAGAACATAATAGACAGTCGTTCTGATAGTTTACTTTAGTGAGTTCCTTCAATACTCCGAAATGCAGTTCATCAGGTCCTAGAGATCTGAATTCATTCAAAGCATTAAGGTATTCCTTGACTACTTGTTTATTAATCTCAGACTACAATCCTGTTCCCTTCACTTGTATTTCACATTTTCCTGGAGAGTCACAGAATGCGTTTTGAGAGAAGACTGAGTTAAAAATGGAATTGAGCACTTCTGCGTTTTCTTTGTCATCTGTTATTATTTCTCCATTCCTACTGAGTATCTGAGCCATTGTGTTTTTTTCTCTCCGTCTTTTGCTACACACATACTTGAAGAATGCTTCTTTTTTTGTTTTCGGCATCTCTTGCTAATCTCAGCTCATTCTCAGCTTTAGCCTTCCTAACACCATCCTTAAAATTTGTTGCTTGTCTATACTCTTCCTTTGTGGCCTAGTCTTCCTTCCACTTCCTACACATATCTTCTGTTTTGTTTTGAGGTCCTCCCTGAGCTGTGATGTGAAGCCACATCAGTCTATTTTGTTATTTTTCACCCTTCTTTCTTGTTGGAATTGTTTTCAGTTCTGCCTTTATAATTTCAATTTTAAGAAAGCCCCACCCATCTTGGACTTTTTTTATTGTTGGAACCTCCTGTCAGTATACATGTGTGGCTACATTCAGCCTTTGCTTGATTTGAAATCCATAATTCCAATCACTGGAACATGGTCACTTTCCCCCAGAGTCTCCTTGCTTCCAATTCTTCCTCCAAGCCATCTCTATTGGTTAGAACCAAGTCAAGGATAGATAATCTTCTAGTTTTTCCTCCATTTTTTGTAGGAGAAAATTAGCTGCAATACAAATCAAGAATTTCTCAGAAGGGTCATATTTGGCAAAATTTGCCTCCCAAAAGGTAGGATAATTTAAAACTCTCATTATTACTCCATCGTGTCTCCTTGAAATTTTTACAGTTTGTTTTTCATCGCATCTTCTCTTTGTCTGAGCAGTCGGCAGTACACCTACTCTGTTCTTTTTATTTTTTTTGCCCCAGTTATATTATTTCAGCTGATAGGACAATCAAGCGTAACCTCCTGAACTTATGTACAGGAATATGTATTGTTGATATATAGTGCAATTCCACCACCCTTCCCATTTGTTTTGTTCTTTTTGAACAATTTATATCCTTCAATTGCTGTATTCCAGTCATGGGAGGCACTGCGCTAAGTTTCAGTTATTGTATCAAGCCGTATTTACCCTCCTGAGCAAAGATTTCCAATTCTTGTCTGTCTCTCATACTTTTGGCGTTCATATATAGACACTGGAGATTGTATGATTTCTTGCCTTTCTTCCTGCTCACATTTTAATGAAGACTATTACTGAGCTCTACTAGAGCTGCTTTGTTCTATTTCTCTCATTGTGCACAAGCCTTCACCTGCCTTTACCTCTGAACCTGCATCTCCCTTCCCCTTCCAATTCAGTTTAAAGCATACCTCAGGAGGTCTTTCATGCTGTGTCCAAACACATTCTTCCCAGTCACTGTGAGGCGCAACCCATCACTTGCTAGTAGTCTGTTTTCCATGATGTGTAACCAATGGTTCCCAAATCCAAATTACTCATGTCGGCATCACCTTCATAGCCAGTCATCTGGAATATTTTCCTTTCACATTCTGTTCCTTTTTTGGGTACTAATAGGATAGACAAGAAGACTATCTGGGCTCCAAAGTCTTTGAGTTGCTTTTCCAGAACTTCAAAGTCTGAAGTGATTTCTTCATATTTCCTTTTGGGTGCGTCATTTACTGCCACACAAATGAGAAGGGATATGCATCCATGAATATTAGGAGGAATGGGAATCCTTCTGTCATATTCATAATCCATTCTCCAGGGAGATAGCACACTTGGCAGGTACATGGATCTTCCTGGCATATTGTTGTTTCAATCTCAGGTAGCAGTGAGTCTCCTATTACAACTGCTCTTCTCTTCTTCTTTTTGTATGGTGTGAGTTCAGTGACCTTGCCAAGCTGAGCTTCACTCTCTCTCAAGTCCTCCTGTGGGGTCTCCTTTATGTCTTCCTCTACATCCTGTCCACCAGAATCCAAGAATCTGAAAGTAATTTTGCAGTTCCACTGGTGAAAGTGTTTTTTCCCTCTTTTGCTCCTAACTCAAATCCCTTTCCATGATGCTTCCTATACTATGCTAATTATCTTTTCAGCATTCTCCTCCTCTATTTTGTCTTGCTCTTCTCCAGTGCCTCCCTTGGCTGCTGCTGCTTGAAACTTCTATGCACTTGTGGCGTCCATCCTCGTGCCCCTTTTGCTTGACCTTCGAGCCTCAGAGCACGTGAAGGCAAGCACTCTCCTCTTTAACACTGCTGCCACCAGGTGATCCCTAAATCACCATTATTACCTCAGAAAGATTCAGGTCCACTCTTCAAGTTCTTTTAAATAAAACTTTGGTTTATTGATTACAGAGATTCATAAATATCTTCAGTAGCTAATCACACCTCAGAATTTCTGAACTACACACTCTATTACTTTCTCTGACTTTTCTCTACTGCCTGACTCTTCTTACATTTGTCTCACCTACTCAATCTACCCCTTGACTCTCTGACTCCGCCTCTTATAGCATCTCTCTCGGCTCCGCCTCTCAGCAACATTAATATGCATGAATCATTCCATTACATAACAGACATGAGCCATTACATAATATAACATGAACCATAGACCTAGTAAAAACAGAACGCTACATCTTCTCTTATAGCACTATGTGTGGCCTCTCTCTGTTCTAGTTCTCTCATTTTTTCTCCTAACAGTGTAAATAGGCAGAACCCCTCCCTGTCAAACTCCTGTTTGCTCTCCTGGTTTGCTCATTCTGATTGTTTGCTTCTTGGGGTCTTTCGCTTTTACTCCTCTGCTATGCTCTCTTGGAGTCAGCAAACAGAATGGGGAAAATTCAAAGAGAACACCCAGCTCTGCAACTACCATTGCTCTGACTAGAAATCTTTTTTGCCATGCACTATCCAATCTATGACTTGGCCTTGTCATTTGCAGGAATGAGGTCCTCACAGAGAACCAGAAATACATAAAAATACATCAAGGGCCTGGACAAGGATTGGTTTCAAAAAGGCTTAGGCAGTCAGCCTCAATCTGTGCACAGAGTGGGCTGGGGGCTTCCACATATTCCTGTTTGTCTGAGGACAACTGTGTGCAGACTTAGAATTCTAATAGCCGCC